TAGCTCTAGTCAGATCGCAAATGGCCCGAAATAGGGTAAACATAGAAAACCCATGGAATCCTGGTTGTTTGGAAAAATAAAACAGGAGACAAATCAGGGGAACTAGAAACCCCGGCCAGCCCTCCCCGCGCCCCTTTCCAGGCTGTGGCCCTGCGCTTTTGGCTTCTTCCTACGTTTCCTACTCATTCCTATTATTCTCCCATTTTAACTCATTTTCCCTCCATGTTTCCATTTTATTCTATTGTTCACCTAGTTGTTCCTATGTTGCAATCGTACCTTTCTTTCCCTATCTTTTCTGTATTCCTGCAAACCTGTACTTCCCTACAGTTTGCCGATAGTTCCCCCCCAAAAAAGTTTTGGAGGTTCTGTAGGATTACCACTACTGAGTCGGACATAAGCTAATGACAAAGAACACCCAACATAGTATTGGTAATTCTTAGGCCCCTATGTTAGCGCTTCGGGCGCCTAAGCTTTGTGGCTTTCTTGCTGCTTGCCCAAATCACCAAGTCGCGCTTTCTTCAGGCTCAGCTTTGTGTACCATAGACATTTCAGTGCTCCCCAGAGGTTCAGGTATAGGAGTACGAATTCCTACAAGGCTGCAAGGCGGGCTCTGAGATTTGGTGGTGGATATTCTGTTGGAGTCTTCGCTCTTGCTTTGGTGTCCGGTCTTTTGGGGGCAGCTCTAGTCAGGAAGGTGTGGGTTTAGCGAGGTCGAGGATGGACTTCCCAAACCCCAGGCACCCGAAGACCTGAATGAACCCTACAGCCAGTGCGGCGAATTCCCCAACCTCGAACCCAGCTTGACCCCACTAGCCATGAAGCCCGGCAAAAAAGAGCCATAAAGAACCCACATCCACGGCTTCAAGGCTTAGAGTGCACCGGCACTAAAGCAAGCTGTATATCAAGTTGTGGGATTTTTGCCAGTGAAGCTTTGGGTCCCTGTATCAAGCCCCTCCGATCGCCAAGGTCTCCTCCCAAAAGATCGGATGTGAGGACAGGTCCTGGCAGCGTTGATCTGGCGACTCGGATCAGGGCCCTGCCATAAGTTGCTGAAAACCAGAGTGCAAGGGCTAGGCCAAGCACAGCATAGGTATCTTGTGCCATGCCTACACAAATAATAGGGCGCGGCTCCGTTTGCTTAGTGAGACTTCTGCGTTGCAGAACCTCTTTCGTAACCCGACCAGATAAGGCCTGGTAGGTTCCGGAAGCATTGCGGCCCCCCCTCTAACCCAACATCATCAGGCTTCGATTCGAGTTCCGGGGAGTAAGCATAAGAATCTGAACCCATGAGTAAGCATTACATAAGACCACGACTCTGCATAATCACATCAGCCTCTGCAAGGCCCTAAAGTGGCAAGCGAATCGAAGACTCAAGAAATCGGCGAGAGGCCTCAGAAGACTTAGAGGCACCTTAGGGAGGTTGAGAATGCTTCGAGGGTCACACTAGCCGCTAGCCGAAGTGCAAGGGGGCCTCAGAGCAAAGGGATGATCGTTAAAACCCATCGTTCCCAAAAGTAAGGCTTCCATAGCTCAATGAAGCTTCCATGAACCCGGTCCTGTTGACGAAGCTGTCGCACCTGGGAGAGCGGATCCATCACCAGGCTCGCCCCCCGCCACTCAACATGGGTGCTGCATACACCCCGCTCAAGACCCATGATGAAGGCACGAAGTTGACCCGTGCTACGGGCCCGTACACATCGCTGTGCGGGACGCAAAAAACGGAAGGAAAGCTAATGCTGACTGCAGCTCATCGATTCAACTCTCCGGTTTAAAGAAGTAAGGGCAAATTTAGGTGTCCTGGGCACAGGGGATTTTGGAGTTTATCGTCAGCTTTCGCGTGGATTCCAAACCACGCAGAGTCTGCAGCGCCTTTTTCCTAGCTACGTACGGCTAGGGATCAGCTACGTCCGGGTAATACTACGCAACCCGTCAGTAGGATGTATGACTCATTAATTATACTACTATTATTATAGCATGGTAACCCATCTCTTATTGACACATGTTGCCCAATCTATTGCACTATGCAGCATCGGGAATGTATATCTAACAGTGGCGATGCCCACCCTCGTTCACCAAATCGCAATCCACACATCCAGGGCCACTGCGAAAGGAGCATAGTCCGAGTCGTCCTGCAACTGTCCAGTGTTGAGTGCCGAGGGTGTAGATAACACTAGAGTGGGGAAAACAAATCAATTCGAGTGACAGAGCATCCGAGCGACAGCACAATCGTCGTGACTACCATGGCACACCTCTTGCAAACGATGTTGCTGTCTGCTTTGGGAGGTGCACGTCTACGAACTTCGGGTTAAGGGTAAGCAACTAGGCCCCAATGAACAGCCTCATGAAACCTACATTACCTACATAGGCCAACAAAGTCCCACAAAGCCCACCCAAACCCGTATGAGACCCACAGAGACCCAACAAATCCAACACCCAAAACCACGTGACCCCTAAGCCCAACATTCTACAATTTTAAATCCTTGCTCCCAGGCCGCATCTGAAACCATCATGAACTATCAGCGAACATCCGCTAAACCGAGTCGGCGCGCCTCCGCCCAGAGTTCCTTGAGGAATCGCCAGGCCAAGTGCTCCAAGGAGCCCAGGTCTTCGACCTCAAAAGGAATCTTCTCGTGTTCTTGAAGGGTTTGGCGCTGCAGTTCTTCTTGGTGGTCTGTTGCCGAGTTCCAGGCTTTTTGACAGGCACACTCGGAGACAGCAGATGTTCACAACGAAGTTGTCTGGATATAAGGATGTTGCAAGGTTTGGCAACTCTAAACCCTAAACTTAATTTTGAGCGGTGGTGGTGGTTGGGGGGGGGTTCAGGAGCCTTGAAGCTTTTGGCTCACCACTTGGAGAAGCCGTGTGGTTTGTGTTGTTGTAGGATTTAGGCACAATCTCGTTGTGGTATTGCGAACTGCCAAGGATGGACAGACGCAAGAACTGAGTTTCTCGCCTTGGCATGAAGCCTTTGCAGGCCGATTGGATAAGCCGGAACGACTACAGCAATGATTGTGGCAAACCTCCATTCCAACAAACCGTGAACAGTTTGTTGTTGAGTCAAGTTGCAATGCAACATCGGGAACAAGTCGTAAGCATTCGGAGCTGGTTGTTTGCGAATGCTTTTTGCTGTTGCCATGGTGTAGCAATGATCCCTGGTGCAGCCAAGCCTTGTCCTTCTGAACTTATCATGAACTTTCTTGAATTGTTGACATGTAGCTGACCCCAACAACTAAACGAACCCCCGAACCACAAAGTTGCACACCAAGTGTGCAAACAACAGAGGGTGAGGAACAGGCCCTTTCCGGAATAATCCATGCTTCTTTGGGGATCGTCAAGAGCTCCTGCGCAAGGACCGACAATACCAAGCATCGGTCGCAGTTGAGGCTCACTGTGACTCAGTGTTTTAGAATCCAGGACTCCGTTGAAGCTAGAAGCCTCATATTCGTAGGTAGAACCCTCTTCAACCCAATCTGCGCCAATATGAAGTACGCCAAGGGGGGTTCGAGCAAATGCAAGGATGTGTCTACGCCTTTGGCTTGGTGTTACCCTGCTTCTGGCTTTAGATCCCTCAACCCTGAAACCAAACTTTAGAAACGGTAATTCCTCAAGCCTCAGGGCTTGCCAGAAACCCCGAACTTCAACCACAGACGTGCAGAAAGTTATATGGAGTCAGACCAGCAGTCAGACCAGAAACGGAGGGGTTTAGTCGCTCTATTGTGTTTGGGCATTTACGGTTAATGAAACCCTCCACCCTTAAAGCAAAAGGCTTGCCGGATTTCGCCGAAGCATCCCAAACAAAGGGTCATGGACTTGAGGGGGTACCTGCAAAACCGAAAGCCTTGGCGTGGGCTGTGCTGATGTCGCGAAGCCAGAGGGACAAGATAGCAGAGGAGAAATACTATCCACCGTTACTGTAACGGTGCTTTGGCCTTTTTGACTGTTCTGAACTTTGGTTCCCAATCAGGGACGTACTCCAAGAAGAGCTGCTGCTATACCAAAGGAGCAAAGAAGAAGGAGCCGGAATGTAGAACAAACTGGCAACGGCATTCGCTCCATGGGTGACTGTCAACCCCCTCGCTGTGGCTTTCTTTTTCTCCCGCCCCCTTCCTCTCCCTCGGCTCTATCTCTTTCTATGTGTACGTGCCATGTACGTTTTATGTATGTGGTGACGTGTGTGTGTGTGTGTGCATGTATGTCTGTATGTCTGCATGCTTGGCTGTATGTATGCCGGTTTGTATTTGTGTCTGCATATATGTCTGTCTGGATGTATGTATGTATGCATGCATGCATGTATGTATGCATGCATCTCTCTTACGGCGGTGAGAAGTAGTATGTATGCATGTATGTATGTGTGCGTGTGTATGCATGTAGGAATGCACGCACATGCAGGCAAACACCTAGACAGCGTCATGCACGTCTCTTGCCCACTTGCGCTCTGTCTCTGTCTGCCTTGGGCTACTACCTAAATGAAGCTCAAAACGCTCTCTACCACACCCTCTCTCTCTCTCTCCCTCTCTCTCCTTGTCTTGCTGTTGCTCTTGCTCTTGCTCTTGCTCTCTCTCTCTCTCTCTCTTTCTCTTGCTCTTGCTTTCTCTGTCGCTCTCTCCACTAACTACACCACACCACCCGAACCCCAAACCCGAAGCAGGCCTGATCGACTTTAGCACTGCCGCATTCACTCTTCCTGGCGGGCATGAAGATGGAGGGTTAATGTTGGTCTGGGTTTAGGACTGAAGCTCCCACTTGCAGAGGATCGCAGGGCACCTTTCGGCAGGCGAGTGTCTTCTACCTCCAGAAGAACTGCCGGTGTTGCGGGAGCCTTTCTTCATAGCAAACATGCAGTGAGGAATTTGGCAGCGATCGGCATCGTGCCTTTGGTGTTGCCGCTGCTTTGTTAGGTATACAGGTCTCAAACAACTGCGCAATGCTCAGATGGTTCGGCCCGCTCATGCATGTTGGAACAGAGGACCAGAGTGAAACCCTTGCAGGCACTGTCGGCGTCAAACTTCGGGCAACGAGAAGTTGTAGCCAAGCTTGCTCTCCAAGGCAAACAGCAGCTCGTTGGCTTCTTGCTCCTCAGTTTGAGACTCCACGTACACCGACTGGCCCATGCCCACGTCCTTGGTGTCTCCGAGGTCTCGAGCCTGGGATACGCTCTGCTTCCGGCCCTGATGCTTCTCCCCGGCCTCCCTTAAGAGGTAAGCGCTGCAGACCCCGTACGGCGGGGGGTTGCTAAAGCTGCGACCTTCCATCGCCTCGATGATCCGCTGCGCCTGAGCTCTCTCGAGGAGGGTCTGCCAAACATCGTAGTGCCAGCGTCCGACGCCCTGTTGGAAGTGCTCGTATTCGGCAGTGGCCTGCATCTTGAGCTGCTCTGCGCTCAGGCCTCTTCCTGTCACACTGCTCCACTGCTTCCGCTTCTCTACGATGGAGTTCTCTATTGCCCTCACCCGCTCCTCTTGTATGGGCCTCCAGAAAGGATTCTCAACGGCCGTCCGGACGAGCGGAGACTGCTGATGGCGCTGCCGGCGGCGCCGGATGAAGTCTTGGATCTTCCGGATCGCCTCCTGATACCTCTGTTCACCGACGAGCTTCACCAGCTTCTTCTTGGCCCTCACGGAGCGCCAGCGGCTTTGGACCTGCGTGGCGGCTTCCGCCTTGCTGGCTTCCTGCCATTTACCCACGAGACGGTGCCCGGATGGCATCGCCAGGCGCTCTCGTATCTCCTCAATCGCCACCTCCGCCGAGCAGACTCGCTGAGCCACTCGCCGTCGCTCCTCCAGAAACTTCCGTCTTCGCCTCGCTCGGTTCACAATCACCATGAAGGATCTTCGTCGGGCCACTGCGCGGTACCAGCGCTGCAATCGTGTGGCAGCTTCATCAGGCCCGCTTGGTGCAGGGCGCTTTGGCCTTGCCGGCGGCGCGAGCGGCGCAGGCGGTGCCGGCGGCGGAGGAGGTGAAGCCATTACAAGTCGCAGTATGCTAAAACAGGCGAGCCTGGACCAACATAAGCATCACGAGCGAATGCAGAATCAAACAGAAGCTTGCGCAAGTCAGTCCGGACCGGAGACATCTTTGCTGAACAAACGCCCTCCGCCCTATAACATGGAAGTTCAACGCCTATGCGAAGGAACCGAAGCTACATATCAGCCCGCACCTCCGCAGCGCAACACCCCCACCAAGAAGCAGCTGCACGTCACCCAAGCCTGCAGGGAACAATGTCAGGCTGACGCAAAATGTCTAGACAGTCTAGACTTGAGGCCCCTGAAACGCAGGCTGCCCAAACTGGTCAACTGGCCTGCAGCGACTCTTATACCTTATAAACCCCAACCAGACGGATTCTAACACCTCGAAGCCCGATGAGTTCAGGCGCCTGTGCAGCCTTTCGCCTCCATCCACTCGTAAAGCTCCTTGGCCCCTTCTGGCTCGGGGGCATCCTTGGCTCTACCAGACTTCTGCTTAAGGTTGCTTTAACCTTGAGTCTTTCAGGTCTAAAGGCTACTGTAAGGGGTTCAGGGATGAATTAAGGTTGCTCTGTGATAGAAGTCAAGGCTATTTCAGACTACCGGTTCCTGCTTTTGAAAGCTGGTTTGGATTTGACGACCAGTCTTTGGACTTGCAGCTTTGGTATTCATGGCTGGGGCTCTGGGGACTGTGGTTTGAGAGAGGGATTTCACCGTGGATCTTGACGCCAGCTGCAGCTTGTTTGGTAGTTTAGGCCGGTTCCGGTCCTTTTCTAGCAACAGCGGAAGAGAAGCCGGGGTGGAGCAGGAAATGTTCCATGGAGGCCCTGACCCCTTAAGCGCTGCTTCTTCATCATAAGCCCCAAGTAAGACCTATTTATAGACCCCGAGCCTTCAGCCCCGGGAGGCCCCCGCGGATTGCTTCAGAAAAAGGGCATGGCATTAGAATCGCATGGGCGGCACTTGAAAAAAAAACCTACACTCAAGCCCCTCGAACCACTTTACGCTCGGGAAGGGCGCGTTTTCCATAGACCCAAAGCTTCAGAGCATGCCTGAGCAACGTTGTAGCGGAATTTTCAAGCATGAACCCCAGCCTATAGCACCCCTAAGTCAACCATTGCGTGTGTTCCTGTTTGTGGTTACCTTACTTCCCTAGCGTAGGGCCACATGCCAGAAAGTAGGCTATGCAAAAATCGACTACAAGTCAGGGTAAAAGCTACTAGCCAGAATTTCGAGACCTCGCTGATCAGACTGGGGATTGCTCTAAGGAGCCCTATACACGACATTTCTGCATCAGACGGCCCCCATAAGGCAGGACTCCATCAGTGAATCGTTGACATGTTCGGGCTTGGGCAGTAGGTCTGAGGATTTGGCTTGGGCTTGAATATCAGGGCTTCCGTTTTTTTCATGTTGAAGGCAGTTGAAGGTTTTGTGTTGGGTTTGGCGTTAAATTGAAGATCACTGGTCATGGATAGGCAGGTTATTACGCTGCAGGACTTAGTTAGTTTCTGTGTAGATTTGAGGGCCAGGGGCTTTGGCGGGCACGCAGACCTTTTCAATGTCTGCTGGCTGCAGCGAGGCACCAAGCTGAGAGGCTTCTCTTTGAAACATGCCCCATGGCCCAAAACTTCGAAGGTCATGAATGTAGCACATGTACCTTATACAGATAGGCATGCACAATGAACCTCAAGTAGGTGTCACTAGTACTGACTTCGCGACCCCAAACAGGTCACTTGCGTTGAGGCTTCGGGCCAGCTAGAAGCAAAAGAAAGCCTTGCAGCTAGAGCTTAGAGAACTGCGGCTTCGTCTTCATGATGGTCGCCTGAGCAGCCTTCATCAGATCCTGGACATTGTGCTGAGGCCTAGGGCTTGCTATAGGGGCTTGACATCCCGATCCAGAACCCTAGAGACCCTCAATGACTCAAGCCCAAACCCTGAACCTGCCCCAAAGCCTATGAAGCCTTAAGCGTCAACCCGAAGACACAGCATGCAGCCTTCGGACATGCCAAGGTGAGTAACAAGCTTTGCGAGATCGGCCGAACTCAGTCTCTAATGGAAACATCGCTCCTGAAACCCTGGAGATTTACGAGCATCTTCTCCTTCAACTTCAGATCCGGATGCTTTATCAAGGTCTAAAACATAATCATTGGACGTGCACTGACCCGCAGTCGTCCGTCCTCCGACATGAGGTGAATGGAATTCCACTGGAGGATATGGTCAAGGCCCTCCTGCACCGTGTGGTCCCGGCTGTAATTCAAACTCCTCGGCCGACATTGAGGCTTTGGGCCGGGGCTTTAGGATCAGGTTCTGAGACAGCCCAAGTCGCACTTTCGTGCCAACCACCGCCACTGGAGATTTGGAGGCGATCTCTAGCGCAACTTTCCGTGCTTCAGCCAAGCATGCCTTCATGCAAGGCTTCGGCATTTGAGGCTCGGGTTGTAGAAGTTTACTTGTGAGGGCTGGTTGAGTGTGTAGCATGAGGATTTGGGAACCTGGAAAATACAAATGATTCCATGCTTTAGGGCCTCTGCAGGATTTTAGGTTTTTGGCGTTTGGGATTTGCTAGCACTAGCAATACTAATCAAGCCTGATACTTCTCCCGCAGTACTGGTCAATCGGTCCAGGCAGTTGGCAGCATCCGGCTGAACTCATGTAACGATTCAGAGTATCTGATGATTGACTGAGGCCGGCTAACAGAATCCGTCAGTCTGGCTAGATGTGACAGCCAACAGGCTCTGAGACCAAGCACAAGAGAATCCCCTACCCAGCGCACGGGCGACGGGGATTTACGGATGCGGCCTTTTTGCTTTTGGAGGTAGCAGTGGTACGAGTAGGAGCAGTAGTCGTAGTCGTCGAAGTGCTACAGTAGTGGCAGTGGTCCTAGTAGTCGTCGTAGAAGTAGTAGGAGTCTTACAGTTATAGTAGCACCATTGAAGGATCACTCCTTCTGTCCTGGGTAATAAGATCGAACAAACCAAACCGGATTGAAAGCCCAAAAGAAACTGAAACCCCGTGAGGCCTCCTGGGTTGGCAGCACCTTTCCGACCAGGCCAAGCTCCTTCGCCTCCTATTTAGGGTTTAGGGTTTAGGGGGTTTTTTTGCCTCCCACCTAGGGTTTAGGGTTTAGGGTTTTTAGGGTTTAGGGTTTTGCATCTCAAGGTATGTGGCTTGAGAGTCTTTGGGGTTTAGCTAGAACTTTGAAGCCTAGGATGAATCCCACGCGTACCAAGCCTATCTACAATCACAACTGGATACAGCTGCACGCCTGTGTTTCAATATCTGGACACCGGATCGAAAACCCGGACCTCCTGTCTTCGATCTGCCCTAAAACGCCCAAACCCCCAAAAGCTCGTTCAAAATCCGGATGCTCGCACCGCACGGCCGGAATCCGTGGGACCCAAGCTCGGCATTATGTAGATGTGAACTACCAAGATCCCGTAGCACTAGGTACATGTGCGTATCTAGAGCAAAACAAGGGTAGCTTGGGTTTCTGTTCGGGTCGACTTTTCTGGGTTGCTAGCTGAGAGTGTAGGGTCTGCATGTAATCTCGAATGTAGTTTTTATTGTTTTAGGCTGATCAGTTTATGTTGTTAGCCAGGTATAACCAAGACAGAGAAACTAAATTTGAGAGTATATGTAGGGTTACCCAATATCCCATCCTTTCGGTCAAGCGGCAGCAGCTCCCATTCGCCGTCCTGTAAGAGCAAGCTCCCTGACCACGGAGTCGTTGCCGACGATTTTGGGCAATCTCTGCAAGGTTCCAACCTCGGTAGAAGGGCTTCCGGTTCAGGTGATGCTTTTTCTTGCGGCTCGGCCAAAACATCCTGAACTGCAGTGCCGAATCCCGAGCTGACTTTCGTGAATTTCAAACTGTCAAGGGTTCGCCTTGTGGCGAGTGTTCTTTCCCGCATTAACACAAAAAAGAAGAAAACAAGGTTCTGAAGAGCACCCAGCCAGCATCAGCAGCCAAGCCGACATTCACCTGGTTTTGCAGGAAGGGATTTGGCAATCTGGAACATCAGGTAAAGCCTCTCTGATTCTTGGTGATCGTAGGGTTTCGGGTAATCGTTCTACAGAATCTAAGGTTGAGCGTTGGGCTTTCTGTGAGGGCAGCTTTTTTCTGGCTCCAGGGACTCTAGGGTTTTGGGCTTTCAAGCTTTTGTGGTAAATCCGGACCTCTGCGATGGAGAACCAAGCATCCTCCGTGCAGTAGCGGATGTCACAGGCGCTGATTAGGTCTACGCCGGCTCCGACCTGTGATGTCATCAATGATGTCCCTTTTTAGGGCTTAGGGTTTGGGGCTTCCGGTTTAGGACTTTTGGGGCCCTTGGTATAGAACTGTCGCAAAAAAAAACTGTGGGATTCAGGAGAGCGTTTAGAGGGTTCCGGTTAACGGACTTTGAGTCGGGGTTGCAGGCTTCGGCCCCAAGTGGGCCTCAAGTTTTACCTGGTCCAGCTAGTGCGAATGTTGTATCGTGGTGGGGGTTGCTGGGGCTCCGATGTCGGTGTAGCAAGCGCAGCACAATGCTCCAAGCAACGATGCCGCTGTGCAGAGCCACCACCACGGGCTTGCGACAACGTTCCAGGCTGGAAATGCCGTCCTTGAGTTTCGGGGTTTGGAATGATAGATTCAGGCTGTAGAGACATGGGCGTACGGACATAGCGAATCGAGTCTAGCCGCAATAACTGGCACGACTGCGAACCCGAATCGAATTGCTCTCAATCGAAGCATGAATCTGCCTCGGATTTTATGGCTGGTGGGGTTTGTGCCACAGGGCGTCCAGAAATGCGTCATGATTGAACCGCTCAGGGCAGGGTGTTGCAAGAGGAAATCGGACATGCTCGGTTGGAAATCCGTAGTTATACGGATTTGTGAGATGAGGTGTGCGGGTGCTTCCACTCTGGACCCTCCTTAAGTCGATCCAAAAACTTAAACGAGCCCTCAAGCCTACCTTGCACCCCAACCCGAATTAATTCGTAGAGAGGGCAGCGGGCCGAAGTGGAGCAGGCGAATTAACGGTCATATCAAGCACACCTGAATTCCGGGAGCCGAGAAGTACCCAGACCCTACATGATTGAAATTAGGATCTGTGGGAAAAACCAAGCAATTAAGAGCCCTTACCCGGACAACAACATATACACCTCTGCGCATACAATCCTGAAAGCCCACTGACATGGTCTCAGTACGCTATATGCAAAGCCAGTCTACTACACTGATATTTTCACCGGTTATGGTATACTAGCCCGCCGTCTGCATACCAACCGCTGTTTCAAGTTTAATGGGGTTAAAGCCAACCCAAGCGTCTTGGCATCGCTTGATGACTTGCTCCATTCGAAAAGCCTTTCGGCTAACGTCGAGGGTGGCATCGCCGGTCGGGAAACCGCCGAGCCTGAACCATACACACATGTGGTGTCGGATTAAAGATTTGGGCTTGGAGTTTAGTTTAGTGTCAATCAGTGCTATGGCTACGACCCACTTTTTGCAGGAGTTTAGGATGCTAGGTTTTGGGGTGTATAGGCTTTACAGGATCTGTGTGAGGCGAAAGACCTGGATGTTGAGACACATTACGCCCTTGGTTGTTCCTCATCGTTTCTCACTTCGCAACCCAGCGCTTACTTGTAATCAATTTGTCGTCTTTATTGATTCCAAAAAGGCGCCTGAATGCACAAACTGCTCCCCAAATCCCACAGTCGGGCTTTTACTCGAGCCCATTCAGTGACAAAAGCGACTTGTAGTCTTTATTCATGGCTAGTTGGGCAGTTGGGCTACCTGCCACCCGCCTCAAGACAAGGCCCCCCCCCCTTTTTGAAAAGGCTCCGAGACTGCAACCGAAGATTCGAAAACACATTGAATGAGGGTTTGGGGCACTAATTCGCCTCCCCCATTTAACCCGAAACCCTACATCTGACTGACATGCACAAAGAAGGAAACCTAAAGGCTTCAACCCTGTAAGTCCTGAACCCCAATTAAACCCCCAAAATCCGAATCAAACCCTAGAAATCCGAAGACTTATCGCCCGGCAAGATGCTCGCTCTTGAGATCCAAGCCGGCCGTGAAGAGCCGCGACTCACCGCCATGGAGGAACACGCAACCTGGGTGTATGGCTTCGCGCTTTGGGGGCATGGGTCTAGGATTTAAGTGCTTACTCTCGCAACAGAGTTTGGAGTTTGCGCTGCTCTGTGTAACCTTACCCCAAAGGCTCTGCTGGTGACAAACAGATTGCTGTCTCCAAGCAATCGATGACAACCATGTGTGAGTATATAGTGCAGCATCCTGAAACAAACAAGAATGTCTGCATGTATGTGTGTGTGTGCGCGTGTGTGTATGCATGTAAACATGCACGTAGGTATGTAAGGTATGTATGCAAAGCTTTGTGTGTATATATGTACCTACGCATGCATGCATGCATGCATGGTTGTATGTGCGTACACATGCATGCATGCATGCATGCATGCATGCATGCATGCATGCATGCATGCATGCATGCGTGTACGTACGTACGTACTATGTGCACATGCAAGCGCACATGCATGCAGTCGCACATGTATACTGAATGTGTACGTGTGCGCATGCATAGATGCTTATATATGTGTATGTGTATGTTGAAGTAGATTTGTATGTGCATGCGTATGTGTATAGGTATGTGCATGTGGGAGGGTATTTGTATTACAATATGTATATAGAGGTAAAGGTTTTTTTTGCAGAGTACACGCACATTTTTTTATGGGGACATGAACACAAACATATATGTATACGCATATGCATGTGTTGATGCATGTGTCAATGTTTGTAAACACATCTTTTACGTATATATGTATGAGCATACATATGAATACATGTGTGTATACATGTATAAATATATATATATGTATATATATATATGTATATGCATATACATACGTATGTAGTACTAAATGCACGTGCATGTGGATGTTGAGTGCATTTATAGTTATGTTTGCAGGCATCTGCAATTGTATCTGCATGTGTATACTCGCCCGTATAGATATACATAAGCGTACATGCAGACTGTAAGATGTATAAGTACATATGTGTCTGCTTCTGTGTCCGTATGTGTGTATGTGTCTATGTATGAGTGTATGTACATTTGTAAGTGTCTGTAGAGACATACGTACATCTGAACAAAAACAGATACTGAAATCTCAAATGAATAACTTGTGAACAAACAAGTCAAACATATGTACAGGTATATTGTATCTATATATATATATAAATAGAGAGAGAGAGAGAGAGAGAGAGAGAGAGAGAGTCAGTGAGTGAGTGAGTGAGTGAGTGAGTGAGTGAGTGAGTGATGGAGTCGTAGATTCTGTATACATGTCTTTGTTTAGTGTCGACCTGGCTTCTCTCAGGACTAAATGAAACCGATCCTAAACCCGACAAGGGCTGCCGGTAAAAAAGCTTCCAATGACTATGCAGTGTTAATTTCCCGTGAAATGCTGCTAGGCAACGGGTCTCCGGATCATCCGACGCCATCTCCATGCCTTTTCAATCAGGCGGTAAAGTCAGCGGTGCTTTGGACGCTCGGGGCGTAGGAGTGGGATTTAAGACTTTGTTCCCTTTGGGCGTGTCGACATTCATCTGCGCACGGTTTTCTAGACGTCTCATTCGGTATGTCATTGTGGAGTGGGCAGTCTGCGATTTTCCGCTTTACGACCCCGAACACCGAAAAATGCCTCAAGACTAAAGACCTAGTGTAATTGTCTTAATGTACACTCAATCCCGAAAGAATCAATACACCGAATTACTGAACGGACGGGCCGCGAACCCTGCCCCGCGCGCGTGCACGTTCTGTTCAGCCCTGCAAAAAGAAACATCGCCCAGATCGGATCATTGAATTCCAAAGATGCCTAACGCCTTGCACCCAAATCCTGCAGCCTGCAGCCTTAAAGCCCTTCACCGAGAAACATCGTCGCAGGTCCACCCACATGGCCCGATTGAAGGCGTTGAGTGCCTCCAGTCGACGTAGAAGTGTGTAGAGACTTTGGAGAACTTGAGGCCTGTGCATTTAAGGGCTGTCGGGGGTTGCAGAGGCTTGTCAGATTTTCAAGTGTCCCGAAGACAAGACTGTCACCACACGCTGTAGTCCATGCCAGACAAGTCAAGTCCCTCACCCCGCCATGGCCGGCCCCAATCGCAACATGGACCTCCACCCCCTTATTCCCCCAAAACATACATCTCAAACCCTGGGATGAAGCGTGACCACTTTTGAGGCAATGGACTGCAAGCACACATGACGATTCGCGACTATAGAGTGCCCAATCCCACCTGGAGCCCGAAAGCCCAAAGCCCAATCCGGATACCACCACGCCTTGGGTCTGTTGAGGGCAACCTCCAGAATGCCGGACTCTGGGTCTCGTTTCACTGCCAGGGCCTCGCAACTTGCAGGAAGCGGAGCTTGGGGTCGTACTTCTACGTCTGTAGCCTATAGAAACAGCAACATACTCGGCCGGCGATGCCGACAAATGTATCATGCATTCATTCGTACCAACACGACAACGACCAACGAGTGATCTTCTCATCCTACTACTACGGCTGCTGCTGGTGCTACTGCTGCGACGACGACGACGAGGAGGACGCCAACAACGACGACGATGACTACTACCGCTCCCGATCCTGCTCCTACTACGACTAATATTACTACTGCGGCTATCACTGCCACTGCCACTGCCACCGCCGCTATCAGTACTACTACCATGACTTCAGCCACTGCCACTACCACTACCACTGCTACTATTAACTACGACGACGACGACGACCACTTACGACGATGACAGTCTGTGCTGCTGCTACAACATCAGTGCATCTGCCAGACGCCGGCTAAACTGACCACACTTGTGCTCGGGGATTCTGCAAGACCCTGACCCTATCCCCCGCGGCCTCAAACTCCCAGGAAGTGGACTCCGCCATTGGATCGCCCTTTGATTCAAAAGATACCAGGTTACCAAAACCGCGGATACGTCGGCCGATCTGAGCCGAAAGATGCAAACGAGGATCTGCAGTGGATGCGGTCTTCGTAGGATTAGAAATTCGGGATAATTTTTGGGGTTTAATTAGGGTTTCGGGGTGTGATGTGGCACAATGCTTAAAGGACAAGTTCGGCACACAAGGAACTTCCCGCGTAAAGATCCTACTGGCGATTT